TCGTTCAATGCTTGATTACGGTCTCCACTTTTGATTCATGAGATTAACGGTGACCCAATTATGGTAAAATTTCTAAGGCTGTGGGGCAGTTATGATGATGCCTTTTGGCCAATAGCAAATTCTTGTTGCAGTGAGGATTCTGAAGTTGAAAGACCTAAGTGCAAGGTCACAGTTGGTCCCTTAAAACCGGGGTGTGTACTGCTGATGAGTCACGGCCACAGCGATGAGTACTACTAGAAACGAATTAAGTTTATCATGGAAATTGAAAATGGGTAGAGAAGGAAGTAAAGTTTCCGGAGAATATTGAACAGAATGATTGACAACAGGTTTGGGTTAACCAAAGGCATAAGATATTCATTTCTCAGACACCGTTTAGAATTGTACATACTGTTGATTTTTTGTTTGCGGTTGCACTATTTTTAGCAACACTTCTCGTCGTCGACCTCGATGCTCAGGCCTTTTTGTAAACAGCATTGTCCGCTATTTCCCTCACTTTCTACTTTGCGTTTTTTATGAACTTTTGACTAATAGGAAGTTCTAGTCTACTTTCCACCGCATGAACACTCTCGTAACCGAAGCCTCTTAAGAGCATTCTTTAAATCTTCGTTGCACCACAGTCAAGTGCATTCAGATGCTCCCTTTCGTAAGGCTTCTCATTTGTAGTATCGGCTTAAATTTCTTCCGTATCATCTACTTCCTGCATTGAATTTTGCCGATTTTTTCTAAAATATTTTCCTTGACAAATCATTTTTCTCCAAAAGGCGTCGTCAATGTAATCACGTCTGATGGCCACTCGATTGTGGTAAGTTATCTCTTTCATATTCACTCTATTCAGCGCTTAGTGAAATTGGCTTGGTATTTGTCATTGTGACCTTAAGTAGGTCGGTTTGATGCCTTTCAGCTTAAGAGGCTTGCAACTAACACAGGTATTTTTTTATTTCAATATTTAATATAAATTTTTCGCAGCACGATAAATATTACGATTTTATCTTGACTCCTGGCATTCTTTAAGGTATGATCCCCTTGTTGCCTTTTCAGTTTATTTGGCTATAGCAACATTCGTATGACCTCCCAAAGCTACAATTCCACAGCCTACTTTATTTAGAGAAAGTCGTTGGAAATGCTTAAGTGGAAAAACTTGGTGCTCATCGAACCCCAATTAGTCGAACCTTCCTCCACTGCACAGTTCTCCATGTTTCCTCTAGCGGTCGTGTTCTTTGCCTCTAACTTCAGTCAGTCTGTTCGCTCCCATTTTCTTTGGTTGATTTGAAATACAGGAAAAATGTCAATGCTGCAGGCTTTGTGTGCCCATTGATCTTCCTCCAAAAATTTAAAACAAATTGTTTTTGTTTAACTACTCGTTTTCACTTTTTTCCCGGTTAACTGTGAGCGCTAGTGTAGTGTTTAGCCAAACTACGTGTGCCACTGATTTATTCTTTCTATCGTTATAATGAACCCAGACCCTCATTCCCATGGTCGTCTACCTTATTAAAGTCCAACTACTTAGTCTGTGAGACATTCAAATTAGTTGATTGGCACGAATCAACAGACGCACTGACAGCAATGCCCAGCTCATTAGATAGTACTGGTCATAATTTTAGTCGAAATTCTATTATTTTTTATTGTAGTTTCTATGCTCTTAGCCTTACGGCTAGGATTGTCTAAATGTGAGTCTCAGTTTATGGCAACTTCATTGAAGCATCCTATTATTTTTTTCCTGGGCCGGCTCAAGAACCCTAAAGTTTACACAATGGTTGGGTGTGTAACCACTTGTTTGATATTTTTTACAAAATAATCTTGCGAGACTTTTCGTTGTTCTTTTCACAACTCGTATTTATGTCACTGCTGGAACGCGCGCAAAGCCACATGGGAATGCAAAAAACCCACTCCTTGCCGAAAATAAGCATGCATTTCATTCAGCATCTAGTCTGTCTTGAGTGGTGAATTTCATCTTCCTCTATGGCGCCACCCAACAGCGTCAGCAGCAGGTGGCTTTTCCTCTATTCTTCAGACAAGTAGTCACAAGTGGTCACATTTGTCATACCTATTATCTTTTTTAAATTACCACAAATCGGTATTTTATCTATTTCCGTATCTGTGTTCTAGATCGTCGTTTCTGTTTTTATTCTATAAGTCAGTGGAATGTTTATAAACATTTTCAAGACTGCCTTCATTTTGCTCCGCAAATATTCTTTTTTAAATTCCTTTCAAAAGGAATACATTTTTTTGAATCCGTTCATCATCAGTTCACTCTGCACTGATATTAGCTCAACTTCACCCAGAAACAATTGCTCTCCAAAGTGTTTGCTTTTCAAAGCCAGCAGGTTCTCGACTCTAACGTCCGTAAACTATTTAAGCCTTTCCCACACTTGCTTTGAATGAGTTGAACTTATTTTGACAATCTATGTGTGACTTTCTTACCATTGTAACACAAGTAACAACACCAACACATTCAATGAATGGATTCTTGGTAGGATATGTTGCAACCACTAGCTAGTAAACAAAGTCACGGCAACCAGTTTAATTTGACTTATTCTAAAAACACGCCTTTCCGACAAGCATTTCTCTTAACAAAACGCGATCTCTCATCGGCCTATTACTGTGAAACGGAGCTCCCCTCTACGTCATTGCTTTACTATTTATCTTCTCTGCCGTTTAGTCTGCTTAGCCTCGACTTCTGAAAAGTAAAGCTTATATCCACTATAAATTACTTTACACGTTCCCCTATCACGATCATGTTATGGTCGTTAAGGCGCCTCAATGTCTCTCATTTCGTAAAACATATCAACCATGAAGTTATAAGTTCTTTTGCGGTCAAAACAGCTATCAGTTGAAACTTAAGAATTACTGTGAGGTGTTTTTCGATACTGGTCGTTGCCTGTCAACAGCCTAACTACATATCGCCCTCTTGCAGCTATGAATCCTACATTCTACATCTCTCTTACCACTTGGACTTTCCCAACAAGCGTTTGCAGCATGTCTCCCACCCTCTAATTGGCATTCATAGGGCATGGAGCCCGTTTTCCATCGTTCCGAATGGTCATATTCATAGGTCAATCCATTATTAGTCGTTGGATCCGGCCACGATTGGGGGAAATTTCGCCGTCTTTTAACTAGACGGTTTTGGCTTTTACTTGATGCAATGGGAGTCAAGAGAGTCTCCTTATCTTTTCCATCTTTAACCGCGAGTGAGCTTTTTCGACGCATTTATCTTCTTGAGCTTGACCGGAGTATTTTTGCCTCCTAATTAAAACGGGTGACTTACCTTCGTTGGTTGAACAATGGTGTCATTTGGCAAGTCGTTTTCATCTCAGCTTTTGTAACTGAAATGCTTTGGTGAGAGCGAGCTCTCTTTCGTTTTTCGCAGCCACCTTGGATAACGAGATCAGTGAGATGTGAACCCCATTTATTGTGTAACGCATTCTTCCAACATTTTGTGGGTTGTATCTTGTTTGTTTGCGCACCCTTCTGCCGAAAATCTGGGGCACGTACTACTGGCCGCAAATTTCATCTCTTATCGGCAGCCTAGTCTCTTAGCCTGGTTAATTTTTATATGATCTTTAGTGTTAATATTAATAAAGTTGATGGGTATTTCATACGTTGTGTAGCATTTTGAAGAACCTGCCTTATCACTAATTTGAAATTGTAATTAAACATTTGGCTCCTTTGACACTCATAAAACAACGAATGTATCAGTGAACTTGTCATCAGCATTTTTTTGGTCTAAAGTTGCATTGCCAAAGCAATACAAGGTCGCTCTAAATGTATGATTGTTTTGGCATTGCTTGTGATACTTTTTTTTCCATACACTCAAACGTAACTGCGGTTTCGCTTTACGGGAAAACATTCGCAAGTTAATTCTTTTCGCTGCAATTTCCTGCTTGAAATACTAGTTGAAAGTAATTGGCGTCTCTGTTGACCACATCCACGCAACGACGAACTTCTTCACGTAAAACGCTGAATCACTAAATTTATTATCAAGTGTTCTTCTTCTAAGTGCTACAGCCGGTCATTACTCCAAATCACGGAAACAAAATTACGCTGATTGTTAGTTTTCTCCCATTAGACCCTTCCAAATTACGTCATCTGAGAACAGCCGTTCCATTTCACCAAACCGTTGCCTAGGCTCAATAGGGCGATTTCTCTTACTTTCAAATCCACTCCATAGCAAGTTGATTGTCTAAATGCTCATAGTTTGCATCTAGGCATCGGTGGTTCGCTGATTCCTTTGATATTGTTGCGGTAATTTTGAACGTATATTAGTGATTGGTATCCATGCCTTCATTTTAATATAAAAATTGATGTGCTTATCTCTTCTATTCATTTTCAAAGGAAGTTTCGTGTAATTTTATCACGCTGCTACTTCTTTCACAATCTTTTTTGGCCGTACAATTAATCTTGACTATTCTTACGCTGAATTCAACTCAAATTCTACATTTTATGAATTGGGCAGTGTCTACAAGCTTATTTAGACATTTATCAGTCATTATCTGAAGAATGTCCTGCGAATAATGCATCGCTGGGCATTTAGTTCTTTGAATTCCAATGCTTCATGAGCACATTTGCGTTTTCCTCTTTTCACCACTGGCAAATATGTTATTCATCTACTAGCCTCTACCTAAGCATGGCAAACAACCAGTGGTTGGATTGTGTTGAGAATTTATTCCATAAATAAGTTCGGACTGGCGCTTTAACAACCAATGATGCTGGGGTCAATCACTACCTCTTATTTGTCCTTTGTTCTTTGTTTAATTTGAGACATCCCATTTGGTATTTCGGTCTTAACCTTTGCGGCGCAAAACCTGTCCCAGTTTATTCCTAGCCTTTTTTTAGCACTCATGTTGCGTGTCTACAACCGAGTTTGATACCAATTTTAGGTTTAAAATCAGCTCAATTCTACTAGGCATTTATCGACTAGCAGTTCTTCAACTTTCGATGTTCCACGGCTTTTACGCTAGAAAAGCTAATGTTCGTGAGTTTGAGGCTGGCTTAAGCACTCCTTTTTCCACACATTGAAGGCATATTTGTTGCAGTAACTGGGCCGATTTTTGACGAAACCCGCATCATGTGAAATGTGTTTGTGAAAGCTTTTGGTAAAACTCTATGAAAGTTTGCCTGTTACCACTTAGTTTTGTTGTTCTGAATTTCATTCTGGTCAAATGTTTCAGTTCTTTCTTGCGATTCCTGAGACTTTGGGTATTACTCTATTATGCTCTCTACTTTTCACTTGGAAGGGGAAGTACCAAATCATCTAGCATTTCATGTGGTTGTAGGGGAATGCAGTTCCGGTGTCATTTGTAAGTTTGGATGGACACTGCTTGACCTTCTGTCAAACCTCCCTCCCTTTGTATATCTCTGTAACCTACTCCTTTGTCAGTAAAGCATTGTAATCAAGGTCTGTCGGAAAAAAACCACTGTAACTGTGTTATCTTCTTTTTGCAATTCTTAGAGTGATTTCTACAAATGCAAAATGCGTATTGTTTCTTAAACCTATTTTCTCATTTTATCCTGTTAAAGCTGATAAAGGTTTATGCAAAACAGGCCAATGACTACAAATATTTAATGTTTTAAATTTCACCTCATTTTTTGATTACCAACTGTCATTTTTCTAGCTTCTTATTATCAGTACAACAGCACATTCATCTACACTTCGTAAGTCCTTTTTGCAACATACTTCACTATCTGCACAAAGGATTGATGAAAATCAGGATTAAAGTTAAATATTTATTGGTTCTCTACGGTAGGGCAATGTACTGGTCTAGTTACCATTTTTTACCTAAGGCCACCTGGGAAACCTTCATACAATTCATTCCGGTTTTTTTATGTCCGCGAGACTTTGCTCAGCTTAACTCCTGCGAAAGATGGATGGTGCACATTTTAATGAGGAAGCTGGGAGTAGTCGCTGGACTTTTGATCACTTGTGCAACTCTGCATCCACTTAATGAGCATCTATAAGAAATGACAACTGATGCGATCTTATTCACGATTGCTTTGTAGGGTACCTTGAAGGGTTTTGACAACGTCATCAACCTGATTGTCAATGACAGCCATGAAAGAGTCTTCAGCCCGGATCGGGGGGTGGAACGCGTGCCTCTGGGACTGTCCATCATCCGTGGCCAGAATGTGTAGGTCCTTTTACTTTCAGTCGTTTTGGAAGTCATCTTTCATTATTGCACGCTTCAGGCGCTGGTTTTGTGTAGCTAATAATTTCTCCTCTGATTACTCCGGATTTTTTCCCCTTATTTCGGCAAAACAGAACAGTTGTGATCTGGGATAATGTTGTTGCTGCTGATTGACGTACGCTCCTCGAACCATCCACGTCTTCTTAGGTACAGGTCACGAAATATGTTGACATGTGTTTTCTTCGCACTGCCATTTTTAGTTTGAGCTTGAATCCTATATTTCCGACTTAAAGTACTAAAAACAATTGTAACTGGTGGTGGTTATTATCCGCTTTTTTGGTTTTTAAATACGGTAGCTGGAAACATTAAGATTGGCGGCATCATGGCCAAGTTCTTCACCCATTTAGGTGAACAGATTGCTTAACTGATGAAAGTTAATTTTGTCAAAACTTTTTTTAAAGCAGACTACTTTGTCTCGACTAACTTCTTCCTTGCAATCCCGGAGGTCAAGGCAAGTATTTGTATTTGGTGTGACCTTACCACTATAATGCTGACCCATCACTTAAACCACCTTTGTTTGTTTTCGATTAGCGAATGTCACCATCCCTCTTCTTTTTGCTATTTCCTTTGGGATGTTAGAAGCTTGAATAGTTTGCACCTGAAGAAGCAATTGTGGTAGCATTGGAATCCATTCGCGTTTAGCTATTGTTTTTTCCTTATTAAATGTTTCCTGTTGTTTGCACATTGCGTTCGCTGCAAAGGTGAAAATCTATCGCGAATGCGCTTCATCCAAAAACTCAGTCGACAACAACATCCACATTTACCATGTTTATGCCACTTTATGGTTCTTGGCATTTTCTACTTTTTCATCTGCATGTCAGGGAATGCTTTGTAGAGTGAGCCTATTGGATGTGTCAACTAAGCGGGAAGCAGTTCTGCATAAATGGTGGGATACATGCCCTAATCCAATGTGAGAATATAAACCCTTAAATTTTACAGCTTCGGTTACATTTACCACATCCATCGATATTCATGAAATCCTTGTTTGAGCATTTTCTGGCCTTTTGCCTCTATTCTCTATTAGTGACCCTAGCGTTTTAATCAAGTTTTTGGTGGTCTGTATACGCACGTCATAGACATGCATGTACGTTCTATCGTTTTTTCCCTTCATGTCATTGAAGTGTCATTTGAATCTGGAATATGCGATTCACCTGGCTGCAAAATTGGGCATCGCCTTGTATGGTCCTGAAAGGCACCATTCAAAGGTTGTTTTGCCAATATGATTTGGATAGTGCACTGACGCGTGACACTGGCGCAGTGGGATCATGAAGACTCAGTTCTTGGTTGCTGCCATTTGAAATGATGCCAAGAAACCAAAATACCTAGAACTTGTAGTAGTAAGGTGAATGGTGAAACAATTTACCCGAGCCTACGCAGCTTGGAAAGACGGTGGAAGCTACCAGGTAAGTGAATGTGGCTTGCATTATCAGTCGACAGTTACTAAGCTGCAAAGATCAACTATTGTCAAATTAGAAATTGTTTGTCGACGCACCGACTGACTTGCGTTGAGAAATGATTTTTGTGCTACAACAATTTTTATGCAAAAGAACGTGTCGGGCATCAGTAAACATTTCACTCATCCTCCAACTCAGGCTTCTGGGATTTGCACCATTTCTACATTCCTTGCCTCCATCTGTGTGCTGAAGAGGGATACAAGCTCATCATTCTTCGCATTGTCCTCTTGATATTTCTACAAACAAGTACATCTAGGCAAGAAGTTACATTACAATAGAAACACAGATAGATATTGTTTATTTTATTGCTTTTAAAGTAGTAACTTCCCGAAAGTTTGATATGCAGTCCAAGTTCTTACTTGGTAGTTTCACTTATTTACTGCTTATCATGGAGATCATTAAAACCAATTTTCTTCTATTTTGCTATTGCCGCTGCGTTAACAAGCCACTGAGATTTACTTTTTCCAGATTTGTAGTATATCATCAAAATGTTAGCACGCCCACATCCTTCACAAAATAGTGTGTTAGTTATTTGAATTCAGGTCGAGATTGTGGTGTGAGATGGTAATACGAGGTAGTGCTTCCGTATTTCTATCATGTCTTTTTACTGTCCTAAGTGAATAACTGGTGTCATTCAAAATACACTACAATTTCCTCTTCTCCATTTCTATTTCAATTCTACCGGAGAAGAGATAGTGAATTTGGCGAACAGATGTCATTTCGTCACTTTTGTGAGTTATGGATACATCTAAGCTTCAAAATTGCAACTCAACTTTATCTTTTTTCCCCTTGGATTTGAGGCTCTGGTTGTCACTGTTGTATTAATTTGTAAATGAGAATTCATTCTTACAGTTTTTGGTCT